TTTAAAGTATTTATTGAATGTTTTGGTTGTTGTTGTTGTTGTTGTTGTTGTTGTTGTTGTTGTATTGTTGTTATTAGGTGTATTGGTATGCTGGCAGGTGGTGTAGGTGCCAAAACAGGCATTTTATGCCAAAATTAAACCCAGAAAAACCGACCAAAGTTGGTCGGTTAATGAACATTGAATTCCTAGAATTCAACATTACCGACCAACTTTGGTCGGTATTTTGCCCGCACTGTTGAGATTACCGACCATAGTTAGTCAGTAATGTTTAATTTTAATTATTTTAAAAAAAATATATATTTTCAATTACCGACCAAAGTTGGTCGGTTTTTTTTAATTTTAATAATTAATAAAAAACATAATTTAGTTAAACCGACCAACTTTTGTCGGTAAAATTAAATTAATAAAATATATTTCCGACCAAAGTTGGTCGATAAGTAATTAAACTTGTCAGATGGTCGTTTTAAACTACCGACCAACTTTGGTCGGTAAGCCATTCCGACCATCAAAACACCGTCCACACCGTAATGGTCGCGTTTTGGTCGGTAATTGGCCATAACCGACCAACGTTGATCGTTTTTTTTTGGTTGGTTTTTAGCGAATTTCTATTAGTGTCAAAAGGTGAAAAAATCACGACCTACTACTCAGTATGAGTTTCCCCAACACTTCACTAAATCACTAAGCCAAAACAACATTTACAAAACTCTTTGTAAACCTAAGGATTAACTCTAATCCCGTTGTGGCAACCATCCTCTAACTGTTGCGACAACTTCAAGTTAGCTCTAACTTGAATACTCAGAGTACCTAATACAATTGTTTCTATATAAAGCTGAAAGATACAACTTGAAAATACCTACTACAATTGTACTAGAATAAAAGACAGACGCTTGGAACTGGTTCTTCTATCTAGTTCATGTGGCTTCAGATTCGCACACTTGAATCACACAAGAGTTGCTTGCAAAATGCCTTGCTATTTTGCTCTCAACTCACGTTTAATTTCAACGTTTATGCGTACCTGTAGAATGAGAACATCCTGCAATATATAGAGTTAGTAGAATGAGAAATAACTTGAGTTCTAATGCTACTCTTCCTTGGTGGACGGGTTCTAGTTATCTTCAACTTCTAACTCCTCTCTTATTTTGGATAAAGTTCTCTTCGACTAAGGAGTCCTTCTCCTTATCATTTATGCAATCTTTTCGATCAGGAGATATCAAATATAACAACTTAAGCTTACCTCCTTCACGTGCATCCCTTATGCTCGAATCTGCCCGTGTCTTTGCACACTGTATATGGACCTGGTTCATGCTCGAGTTCCTTTGTCAATCATCAAAACAAACTTCGCTTGGGCCAAATTGTTAGTATTAAAAAAGGACCGAATGATAATACATTGCCGCATTGGTAAACGCTTTAACTTACACCTATTTCTTTCCTTTTTCCTCTTACCTAATGCCTCTCTTACGTTCAAAAGATTAAGCCTCAGCCATTCTTTTCGAATGCACAAACTTCTAAAGCCACATTTTCTTCGTTTTATTCGTCTGTTGTTGTCCGTCTGTTCTATTTTAATTTATTTTCAGGTTCTTCATTCATTTTGTTAGTTTATATGATTGATTTAGTGGTTAAAATTAAAAAGACTTTGAAAGAATAGAATAACGATCTGCATTTCAAGTTTTGCAGAAGTGCCACAACAAAGTACTATGCAATTGGAAATCCTCTTGAACCAAGAAGTGTATTCTAACAACAAGACAATAAAATAAATTACTTTAAGACGGGGAACACGACCCCCAAAGGATAGAGCGAAAATGGTGATAGGCTTAGATTCTAGATGATCGGAAATAAAATAAAGGAACTGCCAGGAAACTCTTTTTTCACCATAAAAAATAAAAAGAAAAAAAGAACTGTTAGACTCTATAAAATCAGAACATTCAGTGGGCGGTACATAATCAGTTCTATAAACAAGAAGGGAGGAGGAAATTACCTGATATATTTGATATAGAACATACAAATAAATGGTAGTTGAGCACTTAAAATGTGTACTAGTATTTTTCACTGTACAAAGATACTTTGTATAAAATGTTCCTCGTTACTTTGCATAAAATTTTCCTCCTATTTTGAACTGACATTCGATCTTTCGGTCATAATTTAGATGACACACTTTTCTTATTAATTAGTCTGTTAAAAAAAGAATGACACATTTCTACGATTAAAAATAATTCAACTTTAAACTCTTCATTTTACTCTTAATGAAAAATTTTATAACCACACAAATATTATGGTCCTATAAAGCTTTTAACCCTTAAAAGTTCTTTATTAACAAATAATCATTAATTTTTTTAACAATTCAAACTCATCAAATAGTTCATGTTAACGCATGAACTAAAGTTATTCATACAAATCACAAAATTATTCATTCACCTAGCTAGCTGATCTCCACACAACAGTTAAATGGGACAGAGCGAGTTGTTCTTGTTTAGCTTATGCTTATGATCAGGAAAATTTCCGCTTCTTGGTAATACGAAGATTTTTAAGTTTAACAAACCTTTTCATGAGTAAGAACCATTTAGTTACACTAAATATCTTGGCCCAACTCTTCTTAGACTTGCCTTTGCGCATAGAGGCCACAGGATCCATGTTGCTCAAATTTGTTCCTTCTTTATGGATGACAGCTGAGTGAACATAAGGAGAATCATCAAGTTGAATATTATCAGAACTAAGAAACTTGACAATTTTCTCCAAATATTCTCCTGAATCCGAATTCATAGATGGGATCTGGTTGAAGGATCCCAGATGTAGGATATCCTTATCATTTTGCACCAAACTACTAAAATCGGTTGTAAAATGGCTAGAAGAAGTGAAAGCAAGTGACATCCCATCTGACTTTGTATGCTGCTCCGCAATTGCATAAGAAGTAGAGCATTCACCACTGACTACCCACTGGTTACTTTCAGTAGGCAAATGTGACTTCTGTGCACATTAAATTAAAGAAAATTGTCAAATTAGCAAAGTAGCTGAAATACTTCTCTGCAAAAACAAAAGCTTAAATCAGCTCACGAAATATATCCTTCTTTTTCATCACATTGAAACGGACATTTACACTGCAGGGTAATGGGTATTAGTTATGCAAGCAAAATAATTTGGTCAAAGAGTACTCACTGAAGTATTTTGAAGCTCTGAATGCTGGCAATCGTCAACCGTGGGACAGGATGATGGGGAAAATTTGGACGATGATAAGTGATGTTTAATAGAAATGCAATTTTCCCAGTTTGCAAATGCAGTTTCCACTAACTTGTGGGCAGACGCCTGTAATAAGTTCAAGATCAAAAGGAGGAATTAGAAATGGCCAACAGATGAGTAAATACATGACAATCAATGAATAGTAGATACAGACCTTTCTTCCATCAAGATTGCATGTCTTTGCATGCCTTGTAGTGATTTTCCACCGATCACCAGACATGCTTTTGCCAAGGATCTGCAGGTATGGAAACTAAAAACTCATCATTTGTATTGTATGAGTACTTCTTACTTAAATGGAAAAAAAATTACAACAGTTGTATGATATTAAGGTGCATTGCCCTAGCGTTTAGGGGCTATTGTAAACCATTAGGACATTGTATTATTTCTAAAACATGAGAGTTTGATACGGCCATTTTCAGTTTTGTGAAGTAAAGGTTCTTAGAAGAAAATTACTTACATGTTGTAGCCTCTGAGGATTGTTGTAGAGTTCAATTAGGAAATCCTCCACTGTCCTGATACCATTTTCAGTCAACCGTTTATGGAAAGGACCATTCTGTTGAATCTGTTCTAGTCTCCATATATCATCAGTTGGTAATGGAGGGTACCGCTTCTTGCTTTCTGGAACATGATATTTTCAGTTCAAAAACTTTACAAATTATAAAACTTCACATTTTTCTAATTTATTAGAGACAATATAATGTACTCACTTAAATGTTTATCCTTAACAGTGAAGTATCCTGTCAGGGCTTCTCTCACTTTAATTTCTTCAGGTAGATCTATAACCTTTGCTCCTAGCCTTACCACTTCCAATTTTCTCATATACTTTGGAGTGTGTTTGAATCTAATTTCATCAACAGAAACAATGCCTCCTTGTAACCTCAGATATGGATTTTTATGGCGCATTGATTTTCCACCTCTTTTTTGCATCATAATATAACTATTTAGTTCTTCCCCATCACCACCAAGATCTTCCTTTAGTAGAAAAATTTCAACTTGTGCTGAGGATAGAGGTCCATGTATCACAGGGAGTCCTGTAATAGCATCAACCAATTCCAATTTGGTTTCTTTGGGAAAGATACACTCTCCAGTAAATACCAGTGGAGCAATCTCGTGTGAGAACCTTAAAAGTAGACATCTTCTTTCACAAGGATGGATTTTCTTCTTGGAATTCCTGTTTTTTTATATATAAAATGCTGAAATAGCTTAACCTCATATACAACGTGAAATTGCATAAGGTAATGTAATTTTAAAGCCAATAACAAGAAGCAAGCAGTGTTCATCCTTGTAATAGGCATCAGCATAATAACAACAACAAACTCAGTAGTGGGGTCTGTGGAGGGTAAGATGTACGCAGCCTTACCCCTACCTCTGAAAGGACAGAGAGACTGTCTGCGATGCATCAGCATAATATTGGCATTAATATCAAATTATCACATTATTTTAAAAATATATATATATAGACGCAGTGGTGCTATGATAATTAAGTGTATGATTTTTCACCTGTATCGAGCAGTCAAAATTATTTCCAAGTCAGAGTGAAATTCATCCTCCACCTGGATAGATAAAATGTTGATTAAATAGTTAGGTATGGATATAATATGACAGGTATATATTCAAAGACTAGAAGATTACAAAATACAACTTTACTAAAAAAGGTATCTCTATTTCATCTTCTGAACTATAGTGTGTTTCACTTCTTATAAGTTCCAATTAAATTGCGTCGTTACTCGTGTGTTTCATTATTATCAATCTCCTGTTTGATTGCTTTATGTAAAATCACACCAGAAACTAGTGCTTGCTATTTAAGAATTAATCTATGCAACTCGTCAAAGATGTTATGATGCTCAATTGGCTAGTGGATTCTATATATGCCTGGACACGAAACCTTAGACTAAAATTAAAATTCGATCTTAAAAGAGTAAAATATAACCTTTAAGGACAACCTAGAAGAAATCTCCTGATAAAGCATGTTTAGCGAGCATTAAAAACAGTAACTTTGATTTGCCTGGACGGCGAAATTGTGGTATCTTCATAGAAGAAAATCCACTAAAAGCTCACAGGAAGCATTTTATAGAAGTAAATTCTTGTACTTCTAACCTCATTGTCATCATTTACACCATGGATATAAATATATATTCACTATGTTTACATTAATCTATTTGACTGGACACAAATTAAGACTTTTAAAACTTATGATCCTAAACATGAAGCCATAATATTTGTGTATTGAATTACTATTCTTTTGAAACTTGTGTTCTAAGATATGCCACAATATTTGCATGACTATGAAAGATTCACATTAGCAATAAAATTCAAAGTTTAAGTTAAATTATTTCAAAATTTAAAAAGGAATCGTTCTTTCTGAAATGCATTAAAAAGAAAATAGAAAATGACTCGTACCTTTTGAAACTATGCATATTCTCGGATTTTTGAGAAAGGGATGGACAACGGCGTCAGTCTATCTCAGTGTTTAGCTTTGTTAGTCAGATTCTGTAGCCAGAGACTTTGCATTCCGTGTGTGATTTTTTCTTTCTTTCATTTTTTGCGAATTCAGTCAGTGACCAAATATCCTTTATGTGGAAAGTGTCCCTTCTTTTCCTGTTCTTTACATATAATGTCCTTTTCTTCACAAAGAAAATTATCCTATTCCTTTCATTACAAATCTGCCGGAAAAGATTTCTTTCCAACCGCATATCAAAAGATCTTTGTCAATTAATTCACATGCCCACCAACCATAAATTAAATGCCATATATAGTTGCATTAAAACTCAGCAAACTCGTAGATCTGCGCACTATCGTTCACCTCATGTGCTAAGAGTTGGTATAAGTTTTTGTCCACGCAAAACTATCACTGTTTTCAAGCGAATGAGGCCTTTCAAAACATCCACCATTTCACCCTCCCTTATAATTAAAAAAAATGGAAAAAAGAAGAAGATCAAATCATCATTTTGATAGGTGTTTAGACTGGTGACACTTTCATTTTCTCCACTAATTGGTTTTCGAATCTTAAATCTTAGTGAGAGCAAATTGGAATTGATCCACAACTCCGGGTGAAACATATCAAATCTTAGGTTAGAAAGCAACTAAAAACTAACAAGCCAACGATCTACGGAAACGTTAGGTTATAAAAGCTCAAGTATATAATTAATTGTTTGCAACCAATAAAATAGAACCATAAAGCTGAAGTGGATTATCCTAAGCAAATGAACATGTACCAAGATTTTTCCAACATATATAAATACACCAAATTTAAGTGGTGAAAGAAAAACAAAACCACACCAAAGTTAAGATACCAAGTATAAATAAATAATACTGTGAAGCCCAAAGTAACAAGCTGTGCAACCAAAAAGAAAGAAAAGATGTTGTTACAAATTAAGAAGCTTAAATTGAACTCACCGGAAATGGAAACAAAGCCAGTAGAAAGGCGACCACAATCCGCCGGAGCTTACAGAGCGAGACGACGTCCCTTATTGCCCTGAGAAAAGGAAAACCAGTAAATTAAAAGAGCAGAAATGACTCAAGTCAACGTCAACGATAGTGCCATATTCAGTACTCTCAAAGCAGAAGCATCACATGCCAACTGGCCACACATGACAAATTTAATAATGGTAAAAGGTCACTAACATACGAACAATCAGTAACACACTAATAGAATCTGAAAACATAATTTTAGTACAAACATTCCTCAACACAGCTAACCAAATGAAGTAATTAACAAATCACTTCATTAATTATTTCTTTGGATTTGATAATGATATTTACGTAAATACATATATATCCAGCTCTAAGAAACTAAATAACCTGTGTGCATGTCCATTTATAATCATGTGAAAGAAGAAGTTTTGAACTGGTTAATTTACTTACCTGGTTAAAGGAGGACTAGAGTTTCTTCTTTCTGTATCTGAGTTCTTGTGTCCTTCTCCACCATTACCATCTTGATCTTCGAACAATAACATTTGTTCCATCAAATATTTGCCACCAACAAAACGAATGCTATAGTCTATGCGAGAGAATGCGTGCAGCCCACCTGAGTTATGGTTCTGTTATATAGACGGTTTTAGAGTGGTGCAAAAACAAAAGATGGTAACTTGCCTCTTTCCTAACTAGCTTAGTGAAAGACGCGTAATGGCGGCTCAGTTATCCTCCGTTAAGTCGTAACTCGTAATAGTAGGAAGCTCAATGTTTATTCTGAATAGAAACAATTACGGGGAAGTCCCCCAATCAATTTTTAACTTATAGTAATATTTTTTCTTACCAAATTTAGTTTGTATATAATTTGAAACTACTTTTCACCTATTAACATAGTATTATAGAAGGCCAAGCTTTTGATACGAGGTGTACATGATATTTTAATTGGTGTGAACATTAATATAGTGGGTGATTTTCTTAATACTTTCTTCAGGTCTTATGGTTGCTCCAGTTTCCTTTTATTTTGAAGGTGAATTTGACTTGTCAAAGGAATCAACCTTTTGGCACGTAGAGAAGCTACTTGTACAATATTTGTCTCTCTTTCACACTCTCTACTCCATAAGATAAGATTGTGGTATCTAACGGTTGTCATACCCTGGCCCTCTTGCCTCTTGGCCTTTTTGGCCCTCCTGATCAATTTGCTGATTTCCCCCCTTTTAGTTCCTAAAAATTGATATATTACAATTGTACTTTCTAATAACACGTACACACGAGAGGGAAGAGTAGCACTACTGAGTGTCAATCCTATGGATGGTTGTGAGTTAAAGAGTTTTTCCATTTAAATTGAAATTGATTTTTTATTGTTCCAAGTCACCATTTAGTTGAATCCCTAGTCAAAGTAAGCTTTGACTCTATTTTATTGGTCTACGAAAATAAAGTCCGGTAAAGAATTCTGTTGACCGGAGACAAGGTGTAAGGCATTCCCCGAGTCTTGTGGTTCTAGCACGGTCGCTATATTGACTTAAACTTGGCTTGGATTAATTTTGAATAAACTCTATTTTATTTGCTTTTCATGCTTTGCCTATGTCCGCCTTTATTGTTGATGACTTTATTAATCTTGAACTAGGACGAGTATCCCCGACCCTAGCGTACACTAACCAAGATGAGTATCTCTGACCTTAATTCGTTTATCGCACCTGAACTTGGAGCTTTCTCGGAGTTAATTAAAAGCTTTTATTTGAGAAATATTGAGTCAAGACATGTCTTCACGATCTTTCTATTTTGTTTATATCTTTATTTCGAAGCGAGTCTTCCCAACATCTGTCAAGACAAAATTAATCAACTTTATCAAACCTACTACTTTTGAGGTTAGATTTTATGGAAAAATGCTTCTTTGTACCCTAGTGGTAGTGAAACAATATATAAAAAAACTTTTGTTGGTATCAGGCCTACTTAAAGCTTTATTCTTACTATTGTTGTCATTAAATGATGAAACTAGTATTACCGAAGTATTTTAATAAAGTTATATACTTGCGCTCATGCCATAAAATTTGCCTAGCACTTTTAAAAAATACTTAACTATTTATTTATTAGTAATAAAAAGAAAACTTATTTATTGAGATTCTGCATTGTTTGGCTTATCATTTGAATTATTTTGGCAAAAACTTGTAGCTAGTCAATCCCAATGACAGTGAACTTAACAAAATAACACACTAATATACATTTAATATTCAATAAGAAAGAAAACAACATTATGCTAAAAAAAAGTTTACACATGCTCAAAAGAAGAAATGAACCCTTATGTAGCAAGAGTTTCATGTATAATAAAACTTCAACTCTTGAAAGTGTTAGTCAATCTGTATTACTATAATAAATATCGAAACAGTAGTCTTTCTGAAACAGAAAACAGAAACAGAAAGTTAACAGCAACAGAATATCGAAATAATATCTGAAAGGAATAAATCGAGCCCACTGAATGCACAGTGTATTCTTAAGGAAATTATTCCCCTTAAGTACCCGAGGTGCTAGAATATTCTCCTCCAAGGATCGATTTAACTCACTAGTGTATTGATGCCAAAAACTCTGATGAATTGCGAACCACTCAATGGTTGTAAAACACATTGGAAAATTTTGTGCAGAAGAAGAAGAAGAAGATGAGAAAACTTCGTAAGGAAAGATTCTGCGATCAAACCATATTTATAGCCATTTTCTGGTACTGTGTCTGAAAAGGTTTGCAACCTTTGAGAACCATCCATGGCTGTTGGAATAGGTGGGAACATTTTACATTTGAAATATTCTAGGAAAAGGGATTTAAAATAATCCGGAAAAGAATCGGACCGGGTCGGATCGCGGGTCTTGGGTTATTCCGGGTTAATTTTTTGTTAATTAATTAAATAAATAATTGAAATAAATTTTGTCCAAAAAGATTAATCAATCAATCATTGATCAAATCCGAAGGTGAAGCCGAGCCGAGCCGAGCGAGCGACGACGACGACGGCGCTAAGCTTACTTTCTTTCCAACTCATTTAACATCAAGAGAGGTGCTTTCTCAATATAAGCACATTCATTTTTTCTTTCCATCACTAATGAGGGGCACTTGCTCTTCCAAAGCAAAATGGAGCTCACTTTACATTGCTCCAGTTTCCTTTTATTTTGAAGGTGAATTTGACTTGTCAAAGGAATCAACCTTTTGGCACGTAGAGAAGCTACTTGTACAATATTTGTCTCTCTTTCACACTCTCTACTCCATAAGATAAGATTGTGGTATCTAACGGTTGTCATACCCTGGCCCTCTTGCCTCTTGGCCTTTTTGGCCCTCCTGATCAATTTGCTGATTTTCCCCCTTTTAGTTCCTAAAAATTGATATATTACAATTGTACTTTCTAATAACACGTACACACGAGAGGGAAGAGTAGCACTACTGAGTGTCACTCCTATGGATGGTTGTGAGTTAAAGAGTTTTTCCATTTAAATTGAAATTGATTTTTCATTGTTCCAAGTCACCATTTAGTTGAATCCCTAGTCAAAGTAAGCTTTGACTCTATTTTATTGGTATACGAAAATAAAGTCCGGTAAAGAATTCTGTTGACCGGAGACAAGGTGTAAGGCATTCCCCGAGTCTTGTGGTTCTAGCACGGTCGCTATATTGACTTAAACTTGGCTTGAATTAATTTTCAATAAACTCTATGTTATTTGCTTTTCATGCTTTGCCTATGTCCGCCTTTATTGTTGATGACTTTATTAATCTTGAACTAGGACGAGTATCCCCGACCCTAGCGTACACTAACCAAGATGAGTATCTCTGACCTTAATTCGTTTATCGCACCTGAACTTGGAGCTTTCTCGGAGTTAATTAAAAGCTTTTATTTGAGAAATATTGAGTCAAGACATGTCTTCACGATCTTTCTATTTTNTGACTTTTCTATTTTGTTTATATCCTTATTGCGAAGCGAGTCTTCCCAACATCTGTTAAGACAAAATTAATCAACTTTATCAAACCTACTACTTTTGAGGTTAGATTTTATGGAAAAATGCTTCTTTGTACCCTAGTGGTAGTGAAACAATATATAAAAAAACTTTTGTTGGTATCAGGCCTACTTAAAGCTTTATTCTTACTATTGTTGTCATTAAATGATGAAACTAGTATTACCGAAGTATTTTAATAAAGTTATATACTTGCGCTCATGCCATAAAATTTGCCTAGCACTTTTAAAAAATACTTAACTATTTATTTATTAGTAATAAAAAGAAAACTTATTTATTGAGATTCTGCATTGTTTGGCTTATCATTTGAATTATTTTGGCAAAAACTTGTAGCTAGTCAATCCCAATGACAGTGAACTTAACAAAATAACACACTAATATACATTTAATATTCAATAAGAAAGAAAACAACATTATGCTAAAAAAAAGTTTACACATGCTCAAAATGAAGAAATGAACCCTTATGTAGCAAGAGTTTCATGTATAATAAAACTTCAACTCTTGGAAGTGTTAGTCAATCTGTATTACTATAATAAATAACGAAACAATAATCTTTCTGAAACAGAAAATAGAAACAGAAAGTTAGCAGCAACAGGATGTCGAAATAATATCTGAAAGGAATAAATTGAGCCCACTGAATGCACACTGTGTCCTTAAGGAAATTATTCCCCTCAAGTACTCGAGGTGCTAGAATATTATCCTCCCGGGATCGATTTAACTCACTAGTGTATTGGTGCCAAAAATTCTGATGAACTGCGAACTACTTAATGGTTGTAAAACACATTGCAAAATTTTGTGCAGAAGAAGAAGAAGAAGAAGAAGAAGAAGAAGAAGATCGGAAAATTTCGTAAGGAAAGATTCTGGGATTAAGCCATATTTATAGCCATTTTCTGGCACTGTTTCCGAAAAGGTTTGCAACCTTTTAGAACCAGCCATGACTGTTGGAACAGGTGGGAACATTTCACGTTTGAAATATTCCGGAAAAAAAGATTTAAAATAATCCGGAAAAAGAACCGGATCGGGTCGGGTCGCGAGTCCTGAGTTATTCCGGGTTGAATTTTTGTTATTAAATTAAATTAATTAATTAAATAATTCTAAGAAATTTTGTCTAAAAAGATTAATCCGAAGCCGAGCCGAGCGAGCGAGCGAGCGACGGCGACACTTGGCTTACTTTCTTTCCAACCCATTTAATACCAAGAGAAGTGCTTTCTCAATATAAGCACATTCATTTTTCTTTCCACCACCAATTAGGGACACTTGTTCTTTTCAAAGCAAAAGGGAGCTCACTTTCCCTCCACTTTTCTTCCCTCTATTTCCCATTCACCAATCTTTAATCCTAACAATCCCTCACATGAATGGGGAATGGCTATAAGACAAAGGAATGCACGGACGAGTCTGTGATTTACATATAAGGATTAATTACATCTGGATAAGTAGGTTTCCCTTTAAACTTTCCGTAGTGAGCTTATATCGGATATACTCGGTCAATCGGTAGATTTGATATCTTTGAACCTTCGAGCTTTGTTGTATACCTAGACAACATAAGCCACACAATCTACCCTTAACCATCTATGGTTCTCAGGGTTGTGTTCGTTTCAGCCATGAATACCGCCTGATTTCATGAGTGCTTAGAGAATGGGCCTTTACTTTCATTCCCCTTGAAGCGACTTATACTAGGGGTGTTCAAAACCGAACCGAAACCGAAAATCGAACCGAAACCGAAACCGAAGCTTAATGGCTTATTGGTATCAGGTTAACGGTTTAACGGACGGGGAACAAATTAAATTTTTTTTATTAACGACTTATCGGTTTATGGGCGGATTATTCAATTTTCTTAACGGATAATCTGTTAACCCGTTAAGNGAAGAAAGATTCAATTATTTATTACCAGCGTGAGAGGTTTCATAATAAACAACAGTAATACACGAATAAATAAAAAAGCAATATAAGCACGAACCAATAACTGCATAATAATTTGAATGTTTTGCAGGATGGCAACCAGCTTCTTGTTAGCATTGCTAGCAATGCCGACTACTATTATGTCTCAAAAAGAACTAATTGTCAACATCACCATAGTTCACAGTGCCACTGCACAATACATTAAGCAACAGAGAGTAAAGAGAATCACATGCAGACTTCTATGAGTACTAAGTATTTATTTGTTTATGAGACATCAAATAGTGTGCCTCGATGGAAGCCCGCCAGCATATCATCTTGATAGAGGACATGGTAGCGGACTTCGCAGCTGGATTATCGAATTGGTTAAGTTCAATCTTAACCAAGTTGTGTTAATGCCATTGTTTGTGTGCTTGTTTAAGTCCATAAAGAGACTTAACAAGTTTACACACATTCTTTTCTTTACATGGAACCACAAAACCCTCAGGTTGTTCCATATAAATTTTTTTCCTCTAATTCTCCATTTAAGAAAGCTGTCTTAACATCCATTTGATGGATTTCAAGACCATATACGGCCACCAGTGTCACTAACACCCTAATAGATGTTATCCTCGTTACTGGCGAGTAAGTGTCAATGTAATCAAGGCCTTCCTTTTGTCTATAACCTTTGACAATAAGTCTTGCCTTATATTTATCAGTAGTGCCATAATCTTTTATATTCCTTTTAAAGATCCATTTCGAACCTAAAGGCTTATTTCCTGGAGGAAGATCAACCAATTCCCATGTATGGTTATCCAAAATTGATTGAATCCCACTATTGGGTGCCTCTTTTCAAAATGCTGAATCAGGAGATGACGTAGCTTCTTTGAAAGCTTGAGGCTCATTTTCAAGCAAAAATATCACAAAATCTGGTCCAAAGGAAGTATATGTTCTTTGACGTTTACTACGCCTTGGATCTTCTTTACTTGGAGTATTTTCCTTTGGTTCTTCCCGTGGTCGTTTAGGTTTTTCACTTAACGACTCGCATTCAGTTTTATACAGATAGATTCTTTCAAAGAATTCAGCATTATCTGATTCAGTTACCGTATTAACATGAATTTCGGGATTATCAGATTTATGAACCAAAACCGACATGCTTTAATGTTTGTAGCATATCCAATGAAAACGCAATCCACAGTTTTTGGTCCGATTTTTACCCTTTTGAGTAAAAGTACTTGTAACTTTGCTAAACACCCCCACACTTTGAAATATTTCAAGTTGGATTTTCTACCTTTCCATTTTTTATACGGAATAGATTGCGTTTTACTGTGGGGCACTTTATTAGTATTCGGTTAGTTTTAAGGATAGCTTTCCCCCCACAAACTCTGCGGTAACCCGGAACTTATTAATAAAGAATTCATCATTTTCTTTGATGTCCGATTTTTCCTTTCCGCTAGATTGAGGTGTGTAGGGGCAGTAGTTTGATGAAAAATTCCATATTAAGAACATATTTCTACAAATGAAGATTCATATTCTCCACCCCTATCACTTCTAATCATTTTGATCTTTTTATTCAATTGATTCTCCACTTTATTTTTGTATTGCTTAAATGCTTCAATTGCTTCATCCTTACTATTAAACAAATATACATAACAATATCGAGTACAATCGTCAATAAAAGTTATAAAATACTTTTTTCCGCCTCGAGATGGTGTCAACTTCATATCACAAATGTCAGTATGAATTAAGTCTAAATGATTTGAATTCCTTTCAACAGACTTATAAGGATGTTTTACAAACTTAGATTCAATACATATTTGACATTTTGATTTATTACACTCGAATTTTGGCAATACTTCTAAATTAATTAATTTCAGCAAGGTTTTATAATTGACATATCCTAAACGAATATGCCATAAATTATTTGACTCCAATAAATAAGAAGAAGCTAAAATTTTATTTATACTGTCAAAAACCATTACATTGAGTTTGAAAAGGCCCTCTGTGAGGTAGCCCTTTCCAACATACATTTCATTCTTGCTTACAACAACTTTGTCAGATACAAATACACATTTGAATCCATTTTTAACAAGTAAAGAAGTAGAAACTAGATTCTTCCTAATAGTAGGAACATGAAGAACATTGTTGAGCGTTAACACCTTGACGGAAGTAATCTTCAGGAATATCTTCCCATAACCTTCAATCTTGGTTGTTGCAGTACTTTTCATGGAAAGCTCTTCTTCGGGACCAACAGTAGAGTAAGTCGCAAATGCTTCTTTGACAGCACAAACATGTCGAATGGCTCCAGAGTCAATCCACCATTTCTTCGAATTTCCAACTAAGTTGCATTCTTAAAGCGTTGCACACAGATCATCAATGTCATCATTCTTCTCCATTATGTTGGCCTATCCCTTTTTCTTATCCTTTTACGGGAGACTACAATCAGAGGCTTTGTGACCATCTTTTCTGCAATTGTAGCAGTTGCCCTTGAACTTTTTCTTGTTATGCTCCTTAGTCTATCCAGAAGACCTCTTCCTCTTCTTACCTTTTGGAGTAGTCTCCTCAATGATATTAGCTCCCATAATCGTTGAATTTTGACGAGACTTCTTCTCGGCTGCTTTGTTGTCTTCCTCAATCTTGAGACGAATCACAAGATCTTCCAACTTCATTTCTTTGTGCTTGTGCTTAAGATAGTTTTTGAAATCTCTCCACGAATGAGGCAATTTTTCAATCATTGCATCCACTTGAAATGCTTCATTCACGACCATACCTTCAGCAATAAGATCGTGAAAAATAAGTTGAAACTCTTGAACTTGGGTTCCAAAGGTTTTGTTGTCTATTATTTTATAGTCTAGAAACTTGGCAACCACAAACTTCTTCAAGCATGCATCTTCAGTCTTGTACTTCTTCTCAAGTGCGTCCTATAACACTTTAGACGTATTCATAGCACTGTAGACACTGTACAAGTCATCCTCCAAAGCACTTAGGATATAGCCTTTGCAAAAAAATCAGCATATTTTCATGCCTCAACAATCATAAATTTCTCGTTGTCTGGTATGTCCGCGGCAGACACTGAAGGTTCTTCACTGGTGAACTTCTGCATACCAAGCGTGGTAAGCCAGAAAAACACCCTTTGCTGCCATCCTTTGAAGTTGGCTCCAGAAAATTTCCCCGGTTTCTCGGCCGGTGGATCATCAGTTTGTTTTGTTGCCGCAACAGTCGCAGAAGGATTTTCATTATCAATTGCCATTTCTCACTGTCAACAACAAAAGAATTCAATTAATGGCAAAAAATAGAATAGTAAACAATATTGTAATTAACGATAAATAGTACGTTTAATAAATAAAAACAAAAGTTTTATATACTGTTTCACAGAAAACGATGAAGTTTTATGTTCTTCAAATCGTTTCTGAATTTTAATACTCTGATGAAGTTTTTATATCTTCAAATCAGAATAGAAAAATTCAGAAGGAGTAGAAAACCACACAAGTTTTAATCTCCAAAACCAGAATACTGATTACAATAAAATAATTTCCTTAGGATTGTTGGTTGATCTGTATTACTATAATAAATAATGAAACAGTAATATTTCTGAAATAGAAAACAAAAACAGAAAGTTAGCAATAACAGAATATCGAAATAATATCTGAAAGGAATAAATCGAGCCCACTGAATGCACAGTGTATTCTTAAGGAAATTATTCTCCTTAAGTACCCGAGGTGCTAGAATATTCTCCTCCCAGGATCGATTTAGCTCACTAGTGTATTGATGCCAAAAACTCTGATGAATTGCGAACCACTCAATGGTTGTAAAACACATTGAAAAATTTTGTGCAGAAGAAGAAGAAGAAGATGAGAAAATTTCGTAAGGAAAGATTCTGCGATCAAACCATATTTATAGCCATTTTCTGGTACTGTGTCTGAAAAGGTTTGCAACCTTTCAGAACCAGCCATGGCTGTTGGAACAGGTGGGAACATTTCACGTTTGAAATATTCTAGGAAAAGGGATTTAAAATAATCCGGGAAAGAATCGGACCGGGTCAGGTCGCGGGTCCTGGGTTATTCCAGGTTGATTTTTTATTAATTAATTAAATAAATAATTGAAAGAAATTTTGTCCAAAAAGATTAATCAATCAATCGTTGACCACATCCGAAGCCGAGCCGAGCGAGCGACAACGACGATGACGCGAGACTTACTTTCTTTCCAACCCATTTAACACCAAGAGATGTGATTTCTCAATATAAGCACATTCATTTTTTCTTTCCACCACTAATGAAAGACACTTGCTCTTCCAAAGCAAAAGGGAGCTCACTTTTCCATCCACTTTTCTTCCCTCAATTTCCCATTCACCAATCTTTAATCTGAAGGGAAAGTGTGCTACACTAACATGTACTTTAATAGAATACTTTTTTTTATTTCTTTATTTTAACTCAATATCCTACTGCAATCCCACAACTTTACATGCACGAAAATACTCCTACAACTAAACCATGAATTTGAATGTTATAAAAATAAACTTTCTCATAGCTACATAATTCATTTTAATATAAACATCTTCTAAAAAACTAATGAAGGCAAATATAATCATTCCATGTATAGCTTTCTTAAAGAAATGCTTACTCCACTTTTAAAACTCAATGCACTTAACCAGAAGTTCGTGTAGATTATCCAGAAGCACCTAGATCTGCACACGAAATGCAAGGTATAGTGTGAGTACAACCAAATCAATAAGTAACAAAACTAGATATTGGACTAAAAATAGTGACGAGCATCACAGTACAATTCACTTTACAAACAATATAATACAGAGAAATAGGCATGCTTCCAAGTTTGACATTTAAAACCAAAATAGTTAATTTGTATCAAGGTCAATTGAAACATGATATAGAATCTTTCAGAAATTTCATGGTAGTAAAATATATATATATATATATATATATACCAGCCGAAGCACAATAGTAATTAAATCAAGTGCACATACTCAGAGTAACAGTCACTCAGTCCTCCCATTCGCTCCAACCTCACAGTCACGCATTCCTCACAATCGCTCATTTCTCTCAGACACTCAGCACTCGCGCTCGAAACTCGCATTTGCGCTCGACACTCGCACTCGCGCTCACTGGGGGTGTACAGACTCCGGAGGAGCTCCTTCAGCCCAAGCGCTATAACAAGCCAATCATGGAATAAATCAATAAAACATGATGCGGCGTGCAACCTGCTCCCATAAATATCCTCACAATCAGGCACTCGGCCTCACTCAATCATCAATCTCTCCAATCTCTCGGGCTCTCAATAATCATGATAATCAACCCAAACAGTGATAATATAATGTGTCAATAAAGAACAATAAAAACTGAGCTATAATATGAAGTAAAACAGTGACTGAGTGCAAAACATCAATTTAGCAGATAATTCAACATGTAACACGATCTTTGTGGGTCCATACAATGCCAACACATAGCCTAAACATGATTTGCAGTTCAATTTCTATAATACATGGAGAATATACGGGTAACATCAAATAAATCAACTATACTATCCAATGGAATTGACCAATCACAATTTCTATTGTGCACGCCCACACGCATGTCACCTGGCGTGTGAGTCACCTCAAAACCAATCATATGACACATATTATGGGATTTCATACCCTCGCGACCAAATTTAGAACTGTTACTTACCTCAATCCATACAAATTCTCTATTCCAATAAGCCATTGCCTCGCGAGTCGACCCCCGAATGACTTGAATCTAGTCACAATTAATTCGATACATTCAACACAAATTATAGAAATCAATTCCATAATTAAAGTAAAATTTTGCCATTTCAAGCCAAAATCAACTACGGACTTCCAAATAATTATCCAGACACACTCCTAAGTCTAAAATCATCATACGTAACTATTGGAATCATCAAAACTCTATTATGGAGTCGTTTACATATAAATCAACATCCGATTAACCTTTTCAACTTAAGTTTTTATCCTATAGATTAAGTGTCTCAATTCGTTCCGGACCCGAACCAACTATCCCAATAAGTCACATAACAACTGTAAAGCAAAAAATGAGCAGTAAATGGGGGACAAGACTGTAATAATCAAAACGACATGCCAGGTCGTTACATTTTCCCCCTCTTAAACAAACATTCATCCTCGAACGGGTTTAGAATCATACCTGGAGTCTCAAATAGGTGTGGATATTTGCTCCTAATCTCCCACTTAGTCTCTCAAGTAGCTTCTCCGACTGACTGGCCTTTCCACTGCACTTTCACTAAAGATATATTCTTTGACCTCAACTTTCGAACATGCCGGTTCAAAATAGCCACCCGCTCCACATCATAAGTCAAATCACCATCCAACTGAACCGTACTGAAGTCCAATACAGGAGACGGGTCTCCGACATACTTCCGGAGCATGGATACATGGAACACTAGATGAACACCCGATAGGATAGGCGGGAATGCAAGTTCATAAGCCACCTCTCTAATTCTTTAAGTATTTCAAAAGGCCCAATATACTGAGGGCTCAAATTGCCCTTCTTCCCGAACCTCATAACACCCCTCTTAGGAGAAAATCAGAGTAGTACCTTTTCTCCTACCATGTAAGCAACATCGCGAACCTTCCGGTTAGCATAACTCTTATGTCTAGATTGCGCCATGTGAAGTCGATCCTGAATCAATTTAACCTTCTCCAAAGCATCATGAACTAAATCAGTACCGAATAGCCTAGCCTCACCCGGCTCAAACCAACCCACCGAAGACCGACACCGTCTCCCATACAAAGCCTCATACGGGGCCATCTGAATGCTCGATTGGTAGCTGTTATTGTAGGCAAACGATGCAAGCGGCAAAACTGATCCCAAACTGTGAAAGTTTTCATCCTTGAGACTAAGTGTCTTAATTCGTTCCGAAACCTCACTGGACCCGAACCAACTACCCCAACAAGTCACATAACAACTGTAAAACACAAAATGAGCAGTAAATGAGGGAACGAGCCTGTAATACTCAAAACGACCTGCTCGTTACAGAATACGACCCCCAAAGGATTGAGCAAAAATGGTGATGGGCTTAGATTCTCGATGATCAGAAATAAAATAAAGGAAATGCCAGGAAACTCTTTTTTCACCATAAAAAATAAAAAGAAAAAAAGAACTGTTAGAATCTATAAAATCAGAACATTCAGTCGGCGGTACATAATCAGTTCTATAAAAAAGAAGGGAGGAGGAAATCACTTGATATATTTGATATAGAACATACAAATAAATGGTAGTTGAGCACTTAAATGTGTACTAGTATTTTTCACTGTACAAAGATACTTTGTATAAAATGTTTCTCCTATTTTGAACTGACATTCGATCTTTCGGTCATATTTTAGATGTCATATTTTTCTTATTAATTAGTCCGTTCAAAAAAGAATGATAGACTTCTACGATTGAAAATAATTCAACTTTAAACTCTTCATTTTACCCTTAATGAGAAGTTTTATAACCACACAAATATTATTGTCCTATAAAGCTTTTAATCCTTAAACTTTTAAGTTCTTTATTAACAAATATTTTTTTAACAATTCAAACTAACTAAAGTTATTCATACAAATCACAAAATTATTCATTCACCTAGCTAGCTGATCTCCACACA